GGGCATAGGAATAGGTGTCATAAGTACAGGTTAGGTGACAAGTGGCTGGAGAGCAGCACTTGTGAAAGGGACCTCGGGGTACTGGTTGACTGCAGGCTAAACATGAGTCAGCAGTGTGATGCGGTGGTCAAGAGGGCGAACACCACCCTTGGTAGCATAGCCAGAAGTGTGGCTTCTAGATCAAGAGAGGTATTACTACCATTCTACATGACTCTGGTGCGCCCGCAATTGGAGTATTGTGTCCAGTTTTGGGCCCCTCATTACAGAAAGGATATAGCCAGGTTGGTGTCAGTGCAGCGTAGGGCCACAAGGTTGGTGGCCGGTTTGCAGGGGATGGGGTATGAGGCGAGACTGAGGGAACTGGGTCTCTTCAGCCTGGAGAAGAGGAGACTCAGATGGGATATGTTGGCGACATACAGGTATGTGAGGGGATGTCACATGGAGATGGGTAGAGACCTGTTCTCCCCTGCAGAGGAAGGCAGAACGCGCTCCAACAGGGCAAAGCTCAGGGAGCCAAGGCTCCATTTGGATGCCAGGAAGCACTTCCTGACAGTCAGGACCCCAAGGGTCTGGGCTTCCACGAGAGGTCGTTGAGGCCTCATCGGTGCAGGTGTTCAAGGACAGGCTGGATGTCCACATGGTGGGCATGTCGTGAGCGGAGCCAGCTGGTGCCGGAGGTCAGACTAGATGGCCCGGGAGACCCCTTCTGACTTGTTCTGTTTCTATGTTTCTCCAGATTATTTGGGAATATTAACCAAATTATGTAAGAAAGGCAGGTGATATTCTGAAAAGAAGTTTAAAATTAGGTGTTAAAATATTCAAGTTCTGACATTTTATAATTTAATAATTATTCCTAATATTGTATTCTATATGTTCATCTTTTGAATTTATACTTTTGAAATAACAACACTAAAAATGACAAAAGCAAATGTACTGTTGTTTGCTAAGAGTGAATTATGGAGGGGCAGAGCCAGCTCGGAATGGATTCCGAATGCTAAAATCTGCACTTCTCCTGATCATCAACAAAAACACGATTAAAATATACTCAAATTAAGATAAAGAAACACTGGAAAAATGCATAAAACGTAAGTCAATTCCTTTGTTTATCTCCTGGGAAGATATGAAACACAGACGTGGACTGAGAGTTGTTTTTGTGATCTGAAACTGCTGGCTCTAGCCCAGAGTAAGCCATATTTCAACCGTCTATGGATTGAGAAACAGCGTTTATGTTCTAAACACTCCGGCTTCTTATTAAAATAAGCTTAAAAACAGCTAGAGAAGCGGAGATAAATAGAATGTTACTTTCATGAGAGATTTTTTTTTAAAGTAAGAAGTGAATCTTCTATCTCCCCCCGGGCAGCTGGAAGCCGTGAGAGTGCCGATACTGAAGACAGTTGGGCAGAGCTGTAAGGTATGCAGATTAAAGCTAATTAACAACCCAGGACTAACTTTTCTGCTAAGTTGTTTATAGTATAAGAAAATAATGTGCAATTTTTTTTAAAAAAAGAAAAAATCTAACAAACAAGCAAGTATGATAGACAAAACAAACTATGTAATGGAATTGCATCTGAATCTGAACTGCTTCTGAATTAGAGCTCCCTCTGCTGGCTAATTGTTAAATTGCAGCTAATTCATTTATTGATTGAAAGTGTAATTCAATGGTGGACTGCAAATAAGATCATTAAATCCAAGACCTCTCTCTCCACTTAGTTGGAAGTAATAGTTGTAGACTGTATGTCCAAGCGCAGTAAAAGTGCAGAAAATGTGAGATCTCAATCTCGAGAACTGAAAACTGTTTGGCAAAGACCCAGGGCGAAACAAGATTCTTCTCACAAACCTCATCCATCAGATTTACGATTAAATTGCAACGACTTCACCAATGCAGATTGGATATTTCTGTTATATTTCTACAAGAAATAAGAGAAATAAAGACAAAAGTGGATGTAGGATTTGATGGTATGAAAGAATAGATGAAGAGTGATTTGAAGAAGCTGGATATTAAAATAGATAATATGGATGGAAGAATAAAAGAATTAGCTAAACAAAATCAAGAGAATCTCCAAACAATTACAGAAATGAAAGCTCAGGTGAGAGAACAGGATAAAGAGTTAAAAAAAACAGATGACTATGATAGACCAGGTCTGTAAAAGTGTGATCGAGATTCAAGATAGACAATGAAGATTGAATATATGCCTTAAAGGATATCCAGAGGATGTGAAAGAGAATGAAGATATATTGATCCAATCAATATTGGATTGGGCTAAAACTATTCTTCCAGATGTTTCCTTTACAAGATATGATATCGATGCAATACACAGAGTTGGCCCAAGAAGACCAGGAAGAAAAATATCTAGAGACATTGTGGTTAGATTTTGGTCATATGCAAAAAAAGAACAACTGAGGTGGAAATTATGGAATATGACATCAATTATGCTGGAAGGTCGTCAGATTCAAGTCTTTCCTGATCTATGTAATGAGACTTTGCAATGGAGAAGAGATATGTCTCAAGCCTGCCAAATACTCCAACAAAATTCCATAAAATATAGTGGGGGGTTCCCAATTTTTATGAGGTTTGCATATAATGGAAAATATTACAGAGTGAATGGATACAAAGGAAGAAGCACTGGAATTACTGAAGACGCTCGGAATTATCCTGGATGAGCTATACGTAGCACAAATGCAAAAGTTAAAGGACATATCTACATTTTCAAGAAGGAAGACAGAGAAGAGATAGTGAGAAGGAGAAGTTGAGCATAGCAGCAGGAGTCTCATCCTCTCCATAGAGGCAGGAAGAAGAGGAGATCCAGAAGAAAAGAATTAGAAGGAGGTTGAAAAGATAAGATTTATATGTAATAGATATAGAATATAGTTTATTTGTTAGTGTTGAAATTATTACTGAAATATAAGAGAACTTTGAGTATAGAATAAATGGGTATAGATGATTGGGGAGGGTGGAATGGGTGTCTGGGGTCTACGAAGGGAAGGCTCCTCTTCCCCCACCTTGGAAGCACAAAGCGGCAGGGAGGAGAGAATCTCCTGAAGATGGACAAGGGGGCCTCCATACACAGTTGTGGTGGGGAATATGGTGGGGGTAGGGTTAAATTGATTTGGGTTGTTGTTATTGTTTTATTGGAGTGTTTATTTTATCACATTTGGAGACCAAAAATAACATTCAATGTATTGAAAGAATGGGAAAAACACTGAAGATTGTGTCTTGGAATGTAAATGGCTTGGGAGAAAAATATAAACGAGCCTGAATTGAAAAATCTTTATATAAAGAAAAAGCAGATATTATATTTTTACAAGAAATGCATCAAAAGAAAGATGGGGTAAACAAACTACAATTATTCTGGGCAGATGTGTATGAGAAATCATATGGTAGTTCAAAAGCTAGCGGTATTGCAATTATTCTTGCCAAAAGATGTGAATTTAAAATAAAAGCTACAAAAAAGGACCATTTGGGGAAATTTCTAATAATACAAGGTCTAATGTATGGACAAGAGGTGACGTTAGTTAATACATATGCACCTAATATAAATCAAAGGGAATCCTATGACAAGGTATATAAAGAAATAGAAGAATTAAAAAAGGGATATGTGACAATGGCGGGTGATTATAATATGGTTATGGATAAAGAAAAAGATAAATCTAACCCATCAAAGTCAGATGTAAAATATAAGAATACAGATTTAAGTAGATTTATTAAGGAAAACAGATTTAAAGATGTTTGGAGAGAATTAAATGGGGAACAGAAAAGTTATACATTTACTCAAATAGACATAAAAAATTTCACAAGAATAGACTATATATTTGTAACTTCAGAAATATTGTCCAAGATAGTTAAGGCGGATATAAAAGTAATTAAAATATCAGACCATGCAATCATAACAATGGAAATGGAAATAAAATGTGATTACAGTCAGGCAAATACATTTATTTATTTATTTATTTATTTAGAAAATTTCTAGGCCGCCCCATTCGCCAAAGCCTCGGGGCGGCTTACAAATAAATAAATTAAAATACATAAATAACAATATAAAATACACGTAACTGTATAAAATATGTCACCCTGGCCAAAAAACTTTAAAATAAAAATAACATTAACAATTAAAATGACGCTTGAATAAAAAGTTCTTCGCTTGGTGCTGAAAAACAAATAACGATGGCGCCAGGCGGACCTCTCTGGGGAGCGTATTCCATAGATTGGGTGCCACCGCAGAGAAAGCCCTCCTCCGAGTACCTATCCTCCTAATTTCCTTCACGGAAGGTTCCCGGAGAAGGGTCTCTCCTGCTGATCTCAAGGGGTGTGCGGGCATATATATATAGATGGAGGATAGATTTAAGGATGTTTAAAAATGAAAAGATTTTAGAAAAAATGGAAAAAGGATTAAAAGAAACATGGGAAATAAATGAAAAAGGAGGTAGTAATACAAGTGTAATATGGGATACAATGAAAGCAGTAATAAGAGGGCTAGGAATAAAATATTAATATAATTTAAAAAAACAAAAAGAGCAACATATAATGAGACTAGAAGAAGAAATTAAAGAATTAGAGAAAGAATATATTAAAAGTAGAGAAAACCTAGTCATGTCAGAAAAAGAAATATTAAGATTGTATACAAAAGAAAAGAAATACAAAATATTGAATTAGAACAAGTTCAAAAAAATCTAATTTACTTGAAAAGGGAATTTTATGAAAATAGTAATAAAAATGCTGGCCACACAAGTCAAAAAAGCAAAAAATTTAATTGTAGTAATAAAGAATGAAAAGGGGGAAAGATGTAATAAGATGAAGAAAAACTTTTAATTTTCCAAAGGTTTTTCACAAACTATATAAGGGAAATGAAACAGATCTGAAAGTCAGATATATATAGAAAAGAATTTAAATTGTAAAATTTGAGAAGAGGATAAAGAAATTATGGAAACTCAAATAGAAGAAGAAGAGATATTGGAAGTTATTAGTAAATTAAAAATAGGTAAAGCATCAGGATCTGATGGATTGGGTGCTGAATATTATAAAAATTTTAAAAAAATATTAGTCCCCAAAATGAAAATAATGTTTAATAAATAATGGAAGGGAAAACAATTCCAAGCACTTGGAGACAATCCACGGTAGTATTGATAGCAAAACCTAATAAAAACCTTACAAATCTTGAATCTTACAGACTGATATTTCTCATTAATCAAGATGCTAAGATCTTCACAGTGATACTGGTAAATAGATTGAATAAATTTATAGATAAATATATAAAGAATGATCAATGTGGTTTTTTAAGATGATGGCAAATGTCAGATGTGGTAAGGAGAGTATTAAATATTAACTATTATATTGAGAAGAAAAATATAAAGGCAAGTATACTAGCATTAGATATATTTAAAGCCTTTGACTGTGTGGAATGGCCAACAATAAACATTTTAATCGAGAAGATGGGATTTGGAGTAAAGTTTAAGAAAGTAATAAATCAATTATATTCAGAAAATACAGCAAAAATAATTGTAAATGATGGTATTACAGAAACAATAATCCTAAACCAAGGGATGAAACAGGGCTGTCTTTTATCCCCAATATTATTTGCTTTAATGATGGAAATATTGGCAAATGCAATTAGGAATTATACACAGATAGAAGGAATTGGAGTAAGCCAGGAAATTAAAATTAATTTGTTCGCAGATGACACACTGCTAACATTTCAAGACCCAATAAACACTATAGAGAGAATATATTTACATTTAAAGAAATTTGGAAAATATAGTGGATTGCAAGTTAATTAGGAAAAATCTGAAATTATGTTATATAATCATAATAGTGAAGAAGAGGATATATTAAAAGAAAAATATAAATTAAAAATAATAGACAATATTATATACTTAGGAATTGATGTTCCAAAAGATAGTCAAGAATTAAAGAAGTAAAATTATGAAAAGTTAAAGAAGGACATAAAAGATAAAATAGGAAAATATGAAAAGGTAAAATTATCATGGTTTGGAACAATAGCAGTAACAAAAATGAAAATTCTGCCAAAGATTAATTTTTTGTTTTGAATGATCCCAATCAGGTTTTATGATTATGAATTAAAGAAAATGCAGAAATTATTGGAGGTTTATTGTAATGGAGGAAAGAGAGCAAAAATAAGTAAAATACTGTGATATGAATCACACAAAAAAAGGAGGGCTGGGCATTCCAGATGGTAAAAAGTATTGGGTTGCAAACCAATTAAAGCTAGTTCCAGATATTATAGCCCAAAATAAAGAATTAATATGGAGTGATATCGAATTAAAAGAATTAAGGGAAATAGGCAATCATTTAGAGACATATTGGTTTAAAAAGGATATTAAAAAGATTATAAAAGAATTCAAAATTCCTTTTTAAAAAATACAATGGAAGTATGGGAAAAATGGAGACAACAGTTAATCCCAGGAATTTCTCCTTAACACCAGTGGTCGAAATGGAGAAATTCCCAAAAATAGAATTAAAGGATTGGAATACTAAATTAAAAAATAACCATATATATAGATGGGAAGACTGGTAAATAAGATACAAAATATATTACAATTAAGGAGAATAGTGCCAGAGGTTAAATTGGTTAAATTTAATTCAATTAGAAAAATGGATAAAGATGGAGGATAAATTTAAAGAGGAAGAAAGGCAATTAACAAAATTTGAAATGATCATAAAAGAATGTGAGACTGAGGAAGAATATATAAGTAAAGGAAGAATTGCCAAAATCTATAGGATATTAATGGAGTTAGGGGGATCAGACAAAAAGTTTAAAATCAATTTGGGAAATGGATGTAGGTGAAATAAAAGACAAGGATTGGAAGAATATTTGGAACAGAAGAGTATATAAGAGTATGTCAGAATTAAAGAGCATGGATACAAGGTGATACGGAGATGGTATATAACACCAGTTAAGTTAAATCAAATTGCTGACAAATATTCCAATATATGTTGGAGATTTGGTAAAAAGATCGGAACTTATAAACATATGTGGTAGGATTGTGAAAACATACGAAAGATTTGGATTATGGTATTTAAGGAAATTGGAGAAATTTTAGATATAGACTTAGAAATGTCACCAAGAATGGTGTTATTACTGTTGATAGAAAAACAAGATATAAATGAACCCAAGAAATAATTGATTGTAAGTATGATAATGGCAGTTAGACTAGTGAGTTAAATATTGGAAACAGAATTGGGTTTTGCAAAGGCATAAATGGGATAATGAAATATAGAACATGGTAATTAACGATAAACTGATGACAGAAATAAAAATTAAAAGAGGGTTAATGAAAGCAAATAAATATAATGAAATCTGGGAAGATTTTGTAAAAGCAGTACTGATAGAAGGCAAAGGCTGTAAACCCAGTCAAGATTATATAAACTTCTGGAAGGGGTGGAAATAATTGAAGTATATTATATATTATTAATTGTTATAGCATGTGAATGGTGGTAGCATTGGTCTCTGGGGTGGTGGGGGAACTTTATAATTTATTTTTTAATTATTGTGTTTTTGTTATGTTATATTATTATTGTTATGTTGTATTGTATTTGTGGGGGTTTTTTGTCTAAAAAAAGTGGGGGGGAGAGTGAATTATGGAGTCTTTAATTCAAGTCTTACTTCTGTCTTGGACTTACTATGTAGTCCCAGCAAATCTTTTAGCTCTCATCTATAATATACAGATAACAATGCTGACCTAGCTTAAAAAGTTGATGTAAGGATTAAAAGGCTAAAATATGGAGTCTTTTGAAAACTCAGAAAGCTCAATATAAATGCTAAATAGCATTAATAGTAAAATAGGGTATACAATTCATAAGAAGTACAAAACATATGAAGAACAATCCAAAACATCAAAGCAATAAAGAATTTATTATAGTTGTTACTGCTGTCACTTTCCAATGGGGTAGGGTGGAAATCAAGGTGCAGTTGTTGATTTGGACAACAAATGCAATGCCTTCATTTTTATGAACAAGCCCTATGTGTAAAGCAGGCTTTTTCCTCTGACACATGCAAAATGAATGGCAGTTTGTTCGTTCTAAGCACTATTCCAATGACAACTATTAATCTTACTCAGCTTGAGTAATGATAATGAGATCCACCTCCTAGTTTGTGCTAAAATACTCTTTCCTATCCCATAATATTGGGTCCATTTTACTGTGTGCATTTGCATTTAAAAAAAGTATTTCCAAGAAGAAATGCAGGAATATTAAGTAGTTTTTAAAGCTTATTGCTCCAAGAATTTTGTCTTGGCACTGGTTTATTAGCTGTGTAAATTTTAGGGTATGCCTGAAGTGAACGCTAAAATTCAAGTTTATAGAACATCTTGCAGAAAAACTGAAACAGCACCAGTAGCTCAAACAGAGTATATGTTAGTCCAATTGAAAAAAAAAAAAAAAAAAAGAACACCTCCCCCCACCATTTGAGTTGTGTTGTCCACCAGCCCTATAGCAGTCATTGCTAATCTGGCATCCAGTCCCTTGTGTTGGAATGCACCTCCCATTATCTCTGAGCAAGCATGGTCATAACTTTATTCAAAGTACAAGAAGCACATTTTATTGATCAGCACTTTCTATCCCCATCTTAAGCCTCTCCATGGTCTTACTGAGCAAAGCAACATTAGCACACACAGGAAATGCAGTTTATACAATGTAGTTTGAGGTTTACATCCTCATGCAACTCTCAGTTATGCTATCCATCTAGTCACTTCAAAAACTAAGGGAGCACCAATATTTGAACAGTCTCATCCTTGCAGTTCACTTCACACCGGAACTATTCACTGTAAAGTGAAAGTAGGTAGAAACTGACACATTTACCATTCCTTGTCTTGTGTTTTGAATCCAACTTTCCTTGGTACTTCCCATTTTTATATGAGCAATTTAAAGGCCGGAGGGACGGGATCAAAACAAACTCCTCTTTGCGTCATTTGGACATTGGTGCAACAGAGGATAAAACTGGGGCTAAGGCTGGGGCTCAGATTTGCTTCTGAGAAGAAAAATAAGGTCTGGGAAGGCATACTTGATCTTATGGCTAGGAGATAGAAAACTTTATTATTTTCACTGGCTGTATTTTATGTATATGTTAAAAGCAAGCTGTAGTCAAAACTAACCAAGTTTCCTGAACTCAAAGAAATATATCTTGTATATTTCTCTCACTGTGTATATCAAGTATGAAACACATTTTTTAAAAACAGATTATTTTGTTAACCTCAGGATTTTCCTCCTTTTTCTTTTTGGTAGCTGGGGGTCCCTGAGCTGACTCTTCAGGAGGCTTCTTTATCTCCACTTTAGTTTCTGTTTGGGTTTGAACTTTAGGCTGAATAATGATGACCTGCAAAAAGAAACATATGAATGAAAATAAGAAGTTCTCACAATGTGAAAGATACCTTCTACCTCACCAAATAAACAAACTAAAAAACCCCCTAGAAATACTTGAAGCTTCAAGTCAAGGTCAGCTGTGTCAATTACTTTCTTGCAAGAAGCACCATAACCACAGAGATCTGGATGTGGAGGTCCTCATGTCAGAGGCCCTATGGAAACTATAAATGGAAGAGGCATTATTCTCAGAGAAGGTTCAGTTGCACTTATTTGTGATTTCAGTGCCATGATTTAGCATGCCTTAGAGCTGGTCCATATGTTACTCCTACAAAATGCATGCTTCATTATTAATATTTCAAAAAAAGATGGTAAAGTTAACTCTACTTTTTCAATGAACCCTGTCCTGTTGGCATGGTCCAAAATAACACCCATGTCAACATTGCTCTTTGCTTGTTTACTCAAGATGACTTCAGCTAAGCCGATTGATGAAAGGACATAGGGTTGAGAATTTTATCATAGAGTTTGAGACAGTCAATTATTAATTCCCAAGAACAGCATCTGTGTACGAAATATGAGGAAACAATGGCCTACAGATGGATATAATCAATGCCAAGAAATCCATTTTCTTTTTGAGATTTGGTTGCTTGTAAAAAGTCCATTTTGTGAAAAGTCTGCACACACTCTTTAACCCACCTGTGTGCTTTACCTCATGCTGTTCTAGTCTCAAGGCCCTTCAAGTCCAAAGCAGGACTCTGGCTAATTAGGCTGCATGATTTTAGCTGGGCTGCTGCGAGAACTTCACCCCACAGTCTCCTGAAAGGATGAAGACACTACTCAGCAGTTAGTGGTTAAGGAGACTCACCTCACATTTCTCAAATGCTCTTATCTATAAACAAAAAGGCTAGAAATGTTTTGGTATTTGTTTTTCTCCTCCAACTTTGTTTGTTTTTGTCTCTGTCTTGTTTTGGTCTTGCAATTCTTGATGTCACAGTTTGGGCCCTGTTCTATGTGAAAATCTATATGGATAACTGTAAGAACTTTTGTTATTTTCTGACTGAAGTACTGTTTCTAATGCTTACTCTGATTCTTTTACACTTTAACTTAACTTCTATCTCAAGAGTTGTGTGTGCTTCCTTCCAAGTAAGCCTTACTACTAAATACAGAGCCTTCTGCTTGTTTAACAGCTACTGCATAAAGTTTCAGGTTTCCAGCCTGAAACAAACCATGCCCATATAAAAGTCCTATTTCTAAGCCCTCAGGGTGTCTAGTAAGGTCTGAAAGGCTCATGAAGTAAGGTCCCCAGGCTCATCCAGCATATCTTAGTAGCTTTTTGGTCCCTGCCTACAGTGCAAGCTTAAGCAACCTTCCTCCTTGCATAATCTAAATAAGATTGCAAGGAGATAAAAGTTATAAGCAGAATGTCAGTAGATGGCAGTTCAAATTTTCTTCCTGTTTTACTCAGATGCAACCATTTTAAGATCTTCAGTAGCTGTCATCGGTCAATAATGGACTAGATAACAGTGAAAAGCAAAATACTCAATCGACATAAAATGGAGTAACTTAGGTCAATTCTGTATTCTTCATCAAAGGTAAGGTTCAGGGTTTTAACACTAGATGTTCAGCTGGTGGTTATAACCAGTAGTATGTTTCAATAGTTTGGCTGGTATGCCTGTAGCATCTCTTAAGGTCAATTTTTGCTCTGGTGAATTCTTGCCTACTGTCATATGCATTTTATGGGTTGCCTTCAGAAAATTCAGCTAGTCCAGAATACAATGGTCAACCTGTTTTCTGGAGCATACACCAAGGGTTTATTATACTAATCCTATAAGAGTTCCAAGGGTTCCCATATTATTTTCAGGCCAAATTCAAGTTGCTGTTCTATCCATTAATCCTTAAGCAGTCCCAGTCCAGGGTGTAAGATGGAAGACCCTCTCCTACATTAACATGTCTGAGAATTAAGATAAGATCTTAAGATCACTAGATAAGGCCTGATTATGAATCCCACTGTTAAGGAAGGAAAGGTTACCATTCATCGGGAAGTCTTTATTAACATAGGTAATCACTGTTTCTGTGGAATAACCCAGACCTGCTCCTCTGGAGACTTTTTAACTGTATTCGTGCTAATATAGTCTACTCGTTTAAGTATTGTGTTGCCAATATTTTATTGATTTTAACTTTTACTGGAGTTTAAGAACTGCAAAGCTGAAAAGTGGCTGCTACACTGAAGTTACTAACTCATTAATATATGACTGATTTTCCATGGACAACAGTAATACCCCTAAAATTGTGTAAGAATGCAACTTATTTAATCCACATGAGGTTATATTATACTGAGCAGTCCAGCTTAAGCAAGGGGGAAGAACGCTGTCAGTCTGGTTGGAAGACTGATCAATGGTCAGTAGGACTGGGTTTAGAGCAGCGTTCTTCAAGCTGGTACCTTCTAAATGTTTGACATCTAAAACATCTTCAGCAGGAGTCCCCAATTTTTGTGGTGGTGCCTACAATGGTTTCCCAAATTTCCAAATGTGCTCACGGATGCAAAAAGAGTAGGGAATGTCATCTAGAAGGCACCTGGTTGGGAAAGTCTGGTCCAGGCAATGGCAGAGGATCGCTTTCCGACCATTACTGAAACTTTATGATCTTGCAATACTAAAGGGCAATCATGGCCAAAAAGCAGAGAACGATGAATATGATTTGACTTAATTAGCCAATATATGGCAGTAAAATTTGATGTTTTCCTTTGATGTTTCTATCATTATCAACTGATGTTTCTGTCATTACTTCTAATGTTAATGCTGTTCTTGACAGCATAGTACAAAACAACATCCCAATAAGGTGGCATTCTCTCCTACAGGTACACAGATAAATAGTTAGCATTTTCCATTTGTTTCCTCTAGAATTCTCCCAACTTTCTCAGTTTTTAAAAGGGGAAAAAATTCCATGCAGCTTTCCAAATAGACTAAATATACCTATTTTGTTCACATTAAACTTGCAATTAGAACTGCAATTCAGTAATAAAACCTACCTTGCTGTCAGCACTGATGAGAAGTGGCTGCACTTTAATGCTGTCATTAACCACTGAGACAGCAGCACTGGAGTTGATAGGTGTTGCATTGCTGGGGGATGTGGCAATGATGGCATAGGCCACACCGGTGCTGCTCAGGGGCGATGAGATAGCTGTAGACTCAGTAATACTTTGTGACTGGCTGTTGGGTACATGGCTAACAGTATTATTGGCAGTGGGAAGGGCAGGAGTAGGGTTTTTGATGCTGACTACAGTTGCCTTTTGGAACGTAGGCGGTTGTTTGGAAGGTTGGTCTCTGCATGGAGAAATAGGGAGGCTTTCAGGAATCAGGGTCTTTGGCCTAACCTGCAGGAAAGAGAAGAAGTTGCTGTTCAACATACATCTAAAAGAACAGCAAGGAAAGCAATGCAAATACAGTACGACAGAATGGGCCATAGGTGATTGGAGAGAGATATAGGCTGTTGGCCTTTTCAGAAATACTTTTTTCAACTTTGATGCTATGGCAGATCAGATTTGCAATTAGAACTGCCCATTATTTTGATTACTCAATCCAGCAGCATGGGTTAATTTGATCAGGGCAGCAACACTAGGGGGTGTGTTCAATCCTTTTCTCCTGCACCATTCCAATTTAAATCCCCCACCCAAACTTGAAGTTGTAAGCTCCAAGGAATGGCACAGATGCTGGGCTAATCTAAAGGCACTCAATGGAGCAGACTTTCTGAACCTAAGCAGACCTGAGTCTGGTCAGTGACTAGATGATAGATAGCCTGGGAATGCTCTGTAGGCTGTCTTGAATTCTACAGTTTCCCATACTGCATATAAATATGATAAATAAATGAATTAATAAAGCGCCCCTTCGTGCCATTTTCCTAATCAAGTCTCACACACATTCTTTGTAAATCAGAAATGCACAATGGGGAATACTGATGTTCTTGTACCACATCTAGATTAGCCTTTCCTTGCAGAGGTAAGGCAGTATTCAAAGATGTTGCTCACTAATGAATAAACCAGCTCCTGTCTTCCAGAGTTCTGGAACCAACTTAGTGACCGACTAAGCAACAAGCTGTTTGCACATTTTTAAAAATTAAGGTATTTAATGAAATTGATGTAATGGGAACATGTGTTTCTGTATTTAGGTTTCCTGTATTCCATGTTTTAGTTTACTGTATTCCATGTATTACCTACATTTAGATTTCTTCTGATTAACCTTGATGTAAGACATAGTTTATATCTTCAGCAGAATTAACACTGTTTCTGGACCATGTCATGTCAAGCTCATGTTAGAATACAATCCCACAAGAAAGGGGTAGTGGGGAAAGTCCTTCTCTACAAACACAAAATGAGCATATCTTGTAGATGACTGGGTTTATGTTCTTGACACTGAATTCTACAGTATCTTTTTTCCCCAAATGGAGGTGCTTTCAAACATAGGACCCCAGTCTGGTAGCTTGATGTTATCAGGAATAGCATTACATGCATTTTGTTTCTGCTGAATATATAACATTGCTGTAAGATTCCTCACTCTGATAATAGACCCCTTAGGCCACACCCCCACAGTAAATCCAGTGCACAGAACACTGAAGAATGACTAAGCAGACATTTTTCAACTATGTGTGATTTTTAGTTCATGATAGCAGCATGGACAGCTTTGCAAGTTCACTTTCACACTGCATCTTCTGAAAGCAGTGCGCTGCACTGAAGACAGAATTGGGAGTCTAATCCAAGATGGCATCCCAAAAGAGACCAAAATGATGGTTTTGTCAAAATATCACAGAGGCTGCATTGTGAAAATGTGACATTAAATTATGGTCTCCAAAGAATGCATTCAGATGACATGATATCTTCCATTGATGTGACCAATGCCATCCTGTCAATGTAGCTGCAAATTAACAATGTATTAAGCATTACAGGAAGATTAAACATATATAATTTAATATGCGGAATAGTTAACTTCTATTCCTTCCACTCCAGTTGCCATACTATGCATGTTACTTATTACACTCCAGTTCTTTGGGAATAAAGCTCTCAGCCCTGCCATTTCCCAATAACCAGGTAGTGAAAACAGCTGTCTGTGTCATTATCCCATAGGCTTTACATTTCAACAAGCAAAAACAGCTTTAAACTATTGAAGCTTGAAGAAAATTAGCAAATAAAGATGTATTAGATCAAGCAAACATACAGAACACATCTAGCTTAATGACATTTTCCTGTAGTCCACCACACAATGCTACGTTCAGGGATCTATCCCTCTACCACCCCCACAACAGTTTTTGCATGGAAACATGGTAAGGAGATGGTGGAATTCACATGGCATCAATAGCCAAAAGAACCTTAGCTATTCGATGGTAAAAAATGAAATATTTCTATTAACCCCTCCCTGGTCAAATTTAACCTTATCTTCAAAGCTCTCCCCACAAGTTTGGCAAGCCCTATCTTCCTGCCCTTACCTTTGACTCTTACAGTTCTACTGTCTTAGGCTGCCTGAAGGTCTCCAGTCACTTAACTTGCAATCCTAGAAGTACATACTCAGAATGAAGTCCTACTGTTCAGTGGGACTTACTCAAGGTACGGGACTGAAGCCTTAAATTACTTTGCTCATCCTTTCTTACTGCCTCTTTTATGACTACGAGTAGGACTAGGACACTGAGTGGGGCCGGAGGGTGGGTTGTGTGAATGCACAGATGGCCACTCAAAGAACAACAGTTACAGGTAAGCAACCTGCCTTTCTTCATTGTGGCCTCTGTGCATCACACATATGGGTGATTAGCAAGCTTACCAGACCATGAGGCGGGGCGGTGTTGTCAATGAAGGACAGAAGAAAGGACTGTGCGACCAAAGGAGCAATCTTGTCTGGCACGCAGATCAAGGCAGCAAAGTCTGGCAAATGTGCAAAGAGTAGTTCAAGTGGCTGACTTGCAAATGTCATGAAGCAGAATGCTAGCAGAGAAGGCGGAGGAAGTCACAACAGCCCTTGCAGAATGGCCTCTGGGCATGACAGGTAAGTCTAGTTTAGAAAGTTGATAGGCCAGTTCAATGGCCTGAACAATCCACTTCAAGAGTCTTTGGGACCCGATGGGGGACCTTTTGTCAAGTTCAGAATACTTGATGAAAAGATGTCTGGTATTGCAAAAGGTTTCCATGTGAGACCTGTAGAAGGCAAGGCATCGACGGACGTCAAGGGAGTGCAGCGAGTGCTCCATGGGTGTAGATGGAGCAGGAAAAAAGGCTGGTAAGACAATGTTCTGATTGACATGGAAGGGTGACACGACCTTAGAAAGGAACGTCGGATCAGTACACAGAACAACCTTCTCTTTATGAAAATTGAGATAAGGAGAGCCTATATGAAGCATGCAAAGTTCACTGGCCCTTCTAGCTGATGTGATAGCAACAAGAAAGGCTGTCTTCCATGACAAAAGACGTAGGTCGGTAGTTGCCAAGGGCTCAAAGGAAGGTTTAGTGAGCGCTTGAAGGACAACAGAGAGGCTCCATGTTGGGACGATTGATCGAACCGATGGCTGGAGATTCTGTAAGCCTCTAAGGAATCGACAAATAAGGAAGTTAGAGAATACTGATGAGCCCGCCACCTGGCAATGGTTGTGTGAGATTGCGGCGATGTAAAATTTAATGGATGAAGGTTTGAGTCCAGTCTGGTGTAAGGATAATAGAAATTGAAGAATATTCTCAATAGAGACTAAATGAGCAATAAAGTGGTTGGTTTTGGCAAAAGATGTAAAACGCTTCTGTTTAGCTGCATACAAATGATGAGTCGTAGGTCTTAGCGCAGACTGGAGAATGAATTGAATATCAGGATGTAAGACGCTTGAGTCCGATGGAGTATTCGTCAGTATCGAGCAAGGATGAACAGCTGTGTCCAAACACCGCCAGGTCGTTGTCGGATCCGCTGGTACCATCAGTACTGAAGGAGTAGCATGACCTACCGAATGAGCCAGGCTGTTAGACTGAGCGAGTGAAGGTTTGGGTACCGTACTGCCCTGTTCTGTTGAGTTATGAGATGAGGTATGAGAGGAAGTTGCTGAAAGGTGTTGTCTGACAGACGGAGAACGGTAGGAAACCACGGTTGGCAAGGCCATCAGGGAGTGACAAGAATTCCCTGAGCCTTGTTGAGAGTGATCTTTGCGAGAGTTCTCGTAATGAGTGGTATCGGAGGAAACACATAAAAGAATGTGTTAGTCCATGGAATCATCAGAGTGTCCCCTCTTGAGCCGGGACTGATACCCACTCAGGAACAGTAGGCTTTGCAGACCGTATGCACGTGGGTGGCAAATAGGTCTATGTCTGGAGGGCCCCAAATCTGAAAAAAATAATGACAGACTTGACGATCCAACTCCCATTCGTAAGTCGTTGACATCTGCCTGCTGAGGGTGTCTGCCTCCTCATTGTAGGTACCGGCAAGGTGAACGGCAAGGAGAGTAATTTCCCTCAGAATGCACCAGTCCCAAATTCTCAGCGCTAGATGAGCAAGGGAGACAGACTTCGTTCTGCCCTATTTGTTGATATAAAACACAGTCATAGTGTTGTCGGAAGCCACTTGAATGACTTGGCTTCGAAGGGTATTCTCGAATGATCGAAGGGCTTTGAAGACTGCCAGAAGCTCTAAGTAGTTGATGTGTGTGGTAGCCTTGTAGTCGTTCCAAGTGCGAAGACCGGCACACAGAGCTCCCTAGCCTGTGAAGGAGGCATAGGTGAATAGAGTCAATGCTGGGTGAGGTGGATGGAAGGGATTCTGACAGACAGATTGCTTTGCATAGTCCACCATGACAGGGTCTGGAGATTGGAGATGAAGAGGTCAGTGTGGTGAATCTCGTGGTTGGAAGAGGCCGTTGAACCAGAGTTGGAGGGGCCTCATCCATAATCTGTTGTACGGGACCACGGAGACTGTGGAAGCCATGTGTCCATGTGAGCTTCTGTATAGACAGTACTGGAGCAGTTCTGCCTATGCGGATTCGACGAATGGATGCACGAAGCTTCTCTTGTTGTCCTTGAGGAAGCAAGGAAGGCTCTCACAGTCATGGAATCGAGATGGACTCCGATGAAATCGTTGATCTATGAAGGAACAAGGCACGGTTTTTCGTAATTAATACATAGTCCCAATCAAAGGCCTTCTCTAGATGAGGAGATGATCAACCAGTCATTAAGGTAAGGGTATACTTGAATCCCCTGAAGCTGGAGGTGTGCACACACTGGGGCCATACATTTGGTGAAGACCCATGGAGCAGCAGCCAGTCTGAACGGTAAAATGTTGTACTCAAACAGGTTGGAACCGACCATAAACCGAAGAAGTCGCCTGTGAGATGGGTGTATGCTAATATGGAAATAAGCATCCT